AACTCACGACCTTGCGCTTGCCAGGCAGGCGCTTTTGCTGCTGAGCTAAATCCCCAGCCCTAATAATCATAGTTTTGAACACATGGTTAAGCAAGTGGAAGCCAGAACTCTTCTATATAAACATATTTCACTCAACTGAAATTACTATGAACTGGTTGAGTGACAGTTATTTACCAAGGAAGTCATATTTCATGATGAATTTTCACTTCACAAATATTCACTTTCACAAGAATATTTGAATATCTTTCAATGACTCTGGCCTGAATTAGTTATTTTATTAAGGTTATGAATAATTATCTTCATTTTAAATGACTATTTTCCTACATGATCTTTTACCTTAAACTAAAATTTCACAAAAAGTAAAGATAACTTACAATTATTCCTTGACATTTTACTTAAATATTCAAATTTTTAATATGCACATTTGAGAGTATATTCTAATAAAATCTGTGAGATCCGTACTGATGTTCCCCCATTTCTTTCCATATAGTGACAAATTATTCTTTCTCATTTTTTTCTGCATTACTCCTCTCAAAAGTTTATTTTATTAAGCTTTTCAAAGAACCAAATAATACCTTTGAGGATTTAATCTTTTACACTGGATTTCTGTGACAATAGTGACTTCATGTCAAATTTGTTGCTCTGTTTCTAATTTCTTTAAGTGAATATTTAGATTATTGGTTTTCAGATTGTTTTTATTCACATATAATTTACAGTTTAAAAAGATAAATACACTAAAAAACAAGTCTTACCTCTGTTAAAGCAATAAAATTACAATTTAAACCTTCTCAAGAAAAGAAAAATTTAAATCCACATAACACCATCATTATTGGTTCCAAACATTTCTAGGAAGAAAAATTTACATAAAAATATTATCTAAACTCTTCCAGAAAATAAAAAAATAAAATAATCTCCATTTTTAAATACTATATGCATTTGATCAAAACGTGACTCCAACAATTAGAGAAAGGAATTTTACTAGGCAATGTCTCTCACAAACATCTCTCATCTCAATCATCTTGAGCAAAGAAATAGCAACACATATTAAACAGAATATAATGGATAATATGTCATATCCAAGATGTATATATTCAAGGAATATTCTCCATTAGAAAAGTTTCTCAACACAAATCACTGCATTCATTAAATGAAATGAAAAATAAAACTGTCAATAAATGCAGAAACATATTTAATAAAATTAATCACTTATTCATGAAGTTTTATACATGGCAATAGAAGGATTTTGTTAAAAGAAACCTGCAGAAATCCTTGTATTTTCAATGATAAAATATCAAAAGCTAAATCACAGTCCAGGAAAAGAGGAAGATCCATTTTCAGTGTACTCAGACTTACCCTACAGGTCTTGGCAATTATAGAGTTGTAACTTTAGGAGCAGAGGACATATGGAAAATAGCAAATGTTCACAATTTTATGGTAAACTTAGAAAATTTAAAGTTATCTGCAAATAAACTAAATTGAATAAATACATTTAACAAGTTCACTGCATACAGATGCAATATTTTACAGAGTCAATTCCATTTCTATATGCCAGCTCTATGTAATTATACTTTAAGTGTATCTTTAAAATTATAATAGTTATAGTGCTAAAGGCAATAAGTATTTAAAATTAAACATACCAAAAGATGAAGTAAGAATCAGTACAGAATGTAAAAATATTAGTCATCCCTCTAAGAGAGTGTTGATGAGCCTACATATTATCTGTTTTTCTTTTAAGACAAAAGATATTGAACAGTAGCAGCATACCAGTATCACAAACATAAACAAATCAAAGCAAGAACATTCAAAGTGATACAGAGTCTCAAGACAAATAATACGAATCAATAGTGGTTGTTACATTAGATATCCCTATCCTCAACTACATTGCTCAGGTTACCAGATGTAAGAATGATACTGGTATGCTGCTACTGTTCTATTTCTTTGTTTCTCATTTACTACTCTCTGTAAAATAAAAAAGTAATTAAAAAGATATCAATATATGAGTTGCTTTTCTAAATTAAAATCTCAGTATTCAAGTTTAATTTTAGTGTTGGCACCTTGCCATAAGTAAGTGGGTTTTGGGTTGCAGTTTGGGCATTCATCTCTGAAAGGTTTGCCGTCACCACTCTAAGTTGTAAATTGCATTACTTTATTTTAATGATCAGTGATCTGACTATTTATTATAATGATCACTATCAGTAGAAGAAATACCTTCTCTTTATATTTATTGTTATATAATTAAAAATTTCATTTTGTATGTTAGAATTGATACTAGTTGTGATTATTTTTGATGCATAAATCTATTCAAATATCACTGGCAAAATCTCTACCAGGTTGATTCTTTTATCTTTCAGACTTGCTCTTAGCAATCTTCAACCAAATTTTTGCTCTGTGATGCAATTCAATACCCAAAGTTCATGCATTCATTTCCTATCCCACATGTGAAATTCATCATGACTTCCCATCATATCTTCATCCCAGTGGGCCACACATATAGCTTCTTCAGGAGTAGCATATTTTTAACTCTCACATTGGCAGAAATATGATAGTTAGTTTTAAAAGGATCATTACTTTGTGTTGATATTGTTCATTCGAATTTCATGTTACAGAACCTCTATTTTATTTGGTTTCTTAAATTTTAACTTTTCTTTTTCATGTTAATGTAATTAATGCATACAATCTACCTTTCTGTCCCTCTACAGGTGGAATGTCATCTTTATCTCAACCAGAGCAAACTACTGGATTTCTGCAAGTCGAAAGACATTGTTTTGGTTGCGTACAGTGTTCTGGGATCCCACAGAGAGAAAAAATGGTAATGAAACAATAGACTAGGAATGGCACCTAAACTACTATTGATAAAATATTTTCAGTCCTGCAATATTGAGTGTTATGGAGTTTGCTCTCCACTGGCTCAGGGAGAGGGTAAAATTTGCTTTTCTGAGGCAATACTACATGCTACTTGTATTACTGGTGCAGGGGCCACATTTGAAAAGCCCTGGCGTAGAGTTGGCAACTTCATCGTTTTGGAAGCCTGAACCGAATAGGATCAAGGTTTGCCCATGTCTATCTTCCCTTCCAGGGTGGACCAGAACTCCCCAGTTGTCTTGGATGATCCTGTTCTTGGTGCCATGGCAAAAAAGTACAAGCAAACTCCTGCCCTGATTTCCCTTCGCTACCAGCTGCAGCGTGGGGTTGTGGCCCTGGTCAAGAGTTTCAGTGAGAAGAGGATCAAAGAGAACATACAGGTGATGCAGGGTCTTGGGCATCAGGCTCCTAAATAGTATGCATTACATTTTTGTTTCATTGTCAAGTTCCCAAGAAGTTTTGGTGCCAAGCCAGTTCATCTGGCATTGGCAACACATGTGTATTTCATGTGCATCACCAAGGGTTTTCTCCTATTCTACAATAGCATGCTGGCAGTCCAGATGGATAGATTTAGGATTAGGCAGATTTGGGAAATTTTGTTTCACCATTATGTGGGCAAGGTATTGCATATCTCTGAAAAAGTGGCATCAACTTTTCTTCACTTTCTGAAATAAGAGGATTGAATTTGGTGATTGTCAGCCTCCAAATGATGAAGATCCTATTTTGCAATATCCTTGAGTATACATAGAGTTTAACATGCATATGTGTATATACTTTATAGGTTTATTCTTTTTAAGTAGGAGAATCTTATCATACCATTACTGATCGTACTTGTATGTCTAACCATCTTCAGTAGGGAGGTTTAAAATTTTAAAACAAAAGGCATTTATTAACTTGATTCACAAGCCGATGGTTTTAAAATTTGCCTTAGTTGTGCATGAATTCTCACAAGCTTTTCCATCTAGGCTGGGTTCACTCATGTAGTTACAAATGAGCTGTTTTATATTTGTAGAATATCGAGCCCTTTCTGTTCTAGAATGTTGATTGGACTATGGTATAGAGTATCTTCAGCTGTCCTATATATAGTTTTCATTCACCAAATACCCCAGCTTCACTTCCTCAGATAACACTTTCCCAAGGCACTGAGCCAATGTTTGGGAAGCCCAGCAATACATGAGCTTGAATCTTGCGCAACGTCACTTCTGTCAAATTCTAGTGGCCAATACAAATTACAGGCCAGGAAAAACTCAAAGGGTGGGGAGAGACACAGCACCTGCTAGGGGAAGAAATTCCCCTAAATAATGTGGACATATGGGGAACATTTTATACTCAATCAACCATATTTATATATTCTGGATCTTAAAGCTTATTCAGATTTAAGTGTGTTTTTTGAAATATTTCCCGTAAAATCTATTCATGTCTTCAGTACCTTTGTGCTTTATTCTCTTGAACTAAAGTTCTCTCTCTCATAATGGTCAAGTCCACCATGCCTGTCCTTTGTGCCCAGTGGGTGTTTGTCTTTTTCTCTACTGGGAACACTACAGTATTTTGCTGCTCTATCTTACAGAAGTCTCATTGTATTTCCTTCCAAACTAATTGTTATTCAACCACAGAGTTTTAGCATTATGGGAAATAAAGATGAAAATGCAGACATATGATATCTAAGTGGCTATCAAATTTTCCAGCAGTAATACGTACGTTTCTGATCTCTTTCACATATTGACTTGTGCAATTATTTCTCTCTGTAGTCTTAATTTTATTAGAAATTCAGTCTTGCTGTCTAGAATAACAATCATTTTCATTATTCCTTCTCTTATTTAATCAGTTTATATTTTTTTGGTACTGGGAATCAAACTCAGGACCTTGTGCTTGCCAGGCAGGCACTTGTGCTGCTGAGCTACACCCCAGCCCTCCTTCTCTTATTCAAAACTAATTTGCTACTCCAGAGTGATTCCCTTGTCAATAAAATTTAGAATCTCTTAACAACCTACCAAATTTTCATTAACTTTTTGCTTAATACTCCATTAAACTGATGATTCATTTGTAGAGAACTGACTTTTTGACAATATTAAGGTTTATAATCCATGATGAGGGTACAAATTCTAATTATATATAATCTATATATATGCCAATTAACATACTGCAATAAATTTCATAATTTTTCCTTTATAGCATTTTATACATTCTGCTAGATTTATAGAAATCTATAATATTATCTTTTGATGATATTTTATTTTACATTAAAATTTCAAAGTTAGAGAAAAGTTCAAAGAATAAAGCAATATGCCTATTGTCTAAGTTCATCATTGTTAAATTATTGACACTTTTCATTTGTCTCTTTCTCTCTTATTATTGTAGGTTTAAGTATCCATTCTTTCAGTATCTTAATTAGTGAAAATTATTCTGATATTTAAAAAAGGTCCTAAATTAAGACAATGAGATATTTTTCATCCCATTTTCTGGGTTCTTTGAACATGAAATGATTGTATTTGGATAATTCCTGACTTGTGTGGAAAAGAACACCTTTCACATTCTGTTTGTTCATAGGATATAGAAATCCAAATCAACCCATGAAAATTACTGAAATGTCTTATATATTTCAATATTTGGCTCTAGATTTTTCTGGATCTTCTAAGAACAAGATATACTCTTTGAATTGGTGCACCTTTATTTCTTGTTCATCTTATCTTGAAATATTTTTTAGTCTGATATGTTGTATAGTTTGACTATTTTTATGTAAGAATGGATCTCTATTCAATTTTTTAATCTGGTATTTATTACTTCCTTATTTTTTTTTGCTTTATATATTTAATAACAATGTAAAGCTTCTCTGATATTTTAAGTATTTTTTCTATACCATTCAGTGTGATTCATTTGGAATGTCTTGGTTGGAAAATATGCAGTCTAAATGTAATAAAACTTTTCTACTTCTGTGATAGGTTTTTAAATTTCAGTTGACTTCAGAGGACATGAAAGTCCTAGATGGCCTGAACAAAAATATTCGATATCTTACTCTTGACTCGTAAGTAACTCTTGAAAATGTGTTGCCTCAATTTATTTTCTGAGGAAGAATATAATATAGTTGTTAAAACTTACCTCATTGCTAAGAGGAAATTTGTTAGTTTGTGCTAGGGATGAAACAGGAGTTTTCTGGAACTCTGTTCCTAGGTTATCTTCTGCCCTTTGACATGGCAAAAAAGGATAAAAAGTACTCAGAGTCAGCTTGGATTTCCACAAAATGGCCTCTACATTCCTTACTCCACAGAATATTCCACATTAGCCAATATCATGGCTGCATGCAGCCTATGCAGGCCTCTGTGTTCTACAACTATCTAGGGGATATACCCTGTGGATATTGCAAGCATAGCCTATTTTATTTCCAAGTTTCAAGCGTAAACCATCCTTTCCCAAAACTTCTCAGTTCTGTATCAGATTAACAGCATGCCCATTAATCTTGTGGTCCACATGAGAAATTCTTAACTCTTTCATTAGAAATTGTTTACTGGATCCTGTCAATTTGATGCCTTTCTTCCAGGTCTCTTCCTTTCTTTAACTGCACGACTGTGCAGAAGCCAAACTGCATTTGCTTTTAGAAAGGCTGCCATTGCAATCAATGGAACACCTGGTTCTTGTTTTCTGAAATATGTACGTCTCAGTGTACAGCAGGAATCAAGGGGACAATGTGCAGGATAGAGTTCCATTGCTGGAGAGAATTTATAGTGAACAATGGCCTTAATCTTCTATCATGCATTAATGACACAGAATCTGAGAAGGGACAAATAATATATATAAGCACAAGAAATTAAGGAATTTTCCTTCCACCTGTATTAATTTTAATTCATAATAAAAATAAATATGATAATATATGAAAGATGTTTCTATAGTGCTGAAGTGCATATACTCAAAAAGATGTAGATATCTACCACTGTGAATATTTTTATTTGTGTGGAGAAAAATGCAGAAAAAGGTAATAATGTGGAGGCAGAGAACCAAGCAACTAGTAATTCTAACTACCAATTCAATGTATAAGGTTATTGCTATTTATTATTTCATATTTTGTGCATCTGATACATATCTACCAATTATATAGTAAGCTCCTTGGATATGGTAGACTATGTTATAAATGATATTCTTTCCACTTCTTGATCAAACACAACATTTTATGTGTAAATAACTAATGATTGTGAATATGGGACTGAAACTTTTAACTTTAAACCATACATCCTAAAATGTCTTCTTTGTTTTTTACTAAAGTCTGTAATTGTCCTTGTTTTACAAGAGGCATTCTATATTCATTGAAAATTTGAAATCAGAAAGGATGATCTAATGCTTTGGTATACTTGCAGATATAGTTAACAGAGAGGAATCTGTCTGGGTATTTGACTTTCTATTTTGTTTTGCATCCCAGGCAAGGAAATAGAGCAGACTTGTTAAAACATTTCCAATATAAGCAATTTAATTAAGTAAGAGTTTCTACAACCAGTCGGGAAATAAATATCAGCTCTGTTTTTAACACCTTATTATGTATTTTTCTTTTTTATTCTAGGACTGCTGGCCACATTAATTATCCATTTTCCGATGCATATTAACATGGAGGCCTCTCTCATGACTTCCAGCAGAAGCCCCTGGACATGGATAGTGACATGTAAGATGTGTCAGGGGCAGATAAGTCCAGCCACTACTTCTCATGCATTTATGCTAATTGTCACTTCTCATTCTGCTGAAGCTAAATCCACAGATCTAGAAGGAAGGCACTAAATTTTTGTCACATTTTGAAAAATAAATACTGGTTTCCCTAACATTTCTTAATCTAGTACTGTGTCTATTACTTGAATGGAGATTTTACTAGAATTCGGTAGTCACTGGGTGGGAAATAATATGGTTACGGACACTTCTGAGGTGGAAGTGAGTTCTCAGCCTCTAGGGAAGGAACAGTTAGCAGGTGTTTATCTGTCAGTGCTCCTCCAGCCATTTCAGGAAAATGAAAACCAACTCTATGTAGTCTGGAAGGTGAGGCATACATGTGAAGGTGATGTACAGTCCGAGGGCTCCTTTCCTGCAGCTCCAGGAAACTGGGGAATGCAGTCTCCCGGTGGGAAGGTTGGCAGGGAGGTGAGAGGGAAACCACTCTGGAAGGATCCTGAAGAATCAGATATCTGGCAATTTGAAGGGTTCGTTGAACATGTCTCTGCCTGAAAAATACCGGCAAATTACATTTTGATAAATACATCTTGCAGACGAAAGGGAATTTTCTACATATTTTATTTAAGAGCCAATGCTATGTGTGAGATCTGGACTAAAAACCAATGACTTCGCTGGGTAGTGCCCTTTGTGATAGCTGTAATTGTATTTGTTTTATCATACATAATGTCTGTTTTATTTTCTTAGTCAATTATTAGAACCCATATTAGAGAGTCTCTCCTCTAAGAAAGGTCACTGCATGAACAAACGTAGCCAAGTAAATTACCAAGGCCCAGTTGAAGCAGGAAAGAAAATCATAGACTGATCAAGTTTCCCTAATACCTAATGCCATATTCATCCAAAGTTCTTAGATTTTAAAATACTAGCATGATATACTTAATCTTTTTAAATCTTTCAAATGTAATACAGGCATACTTACCTAGACAAATCACACAGTAGTTATAAAATATGAAATGTGTTCTGTAAAACCGGTATCATATTGGTAATTGCAACTCTTAAATTTTCAAGCATCATTTGTAAACATATGTACAAAACAGCATAAGACTCACCAAATGTGTTGACTTCTGAGAACATATTTTACTAATCACTTTTATTTTCAATTAATTTTAGTGGTATGAACTTAATATTCTAATCCTAAACAATGAAATTTTTATCTCACAACACTTTTTTTAGATTTGGAACACCACGGGCCAATCATGCACAAAAGTCTTGAGTCTGACAGCTCCTCAGGGCCAGGCTGTGTTGTGTAACATTTACACTGTTGTAAAGGATAGTTTACTTAGCTTGTAAGTGAGGCATCCAGTTAGGGGCAGAGCATGAGCTAGAGTTGGGGGACAGCCATATTGACAAGAGTTCAAATGAAAATAGACGGTGAACTAGGACTTCAGACCGAGGATGAACGTCCTCAAGCAACAGGGAGTGCAGCCTCCTCCCTACTAAATGAGCTGCAGCCACTCCTTGCTAAGCTCCTGAGTGTTGAAGAATTTAAAATGCAAAATAACCAGGTTTTCTTTAAAATCCTAGTTTCCTTTAAACCCTGCATGCTGAGGAACTAGGTGAGAGAGCCTGAGTTCCAAATGGTCATTTTAAATCCACAGAAGCCCCTATGACAGGTGGCCACTAAAGGAGTGAGTAATTCTTGTGCTTTGCTTGTCCATAATTAGCTCTGGATTGAGAAGCTATGTGGCCACCCACTAGCGGCCCCTCCTGGAAGTCCAGGAGCTCCTCTTCTTATTTCCGACAAAACTCTCCTAACTTCCTCCTTTAGTTCATGACTTCATTCCTATATGTTGCGAGATCACACACAGCACATCTGACATTGGACAGAGTGAGTTATTTTCCCCATCACAGTTATTGCTTCTTCTCATGACCACATGTGTCTTTCAAAACAACCCTGCCCTTTAAAGCCGTGGCTGGTAGCTAGGACATAAGCAACCAAACTGTGCAATCCACAATCTTTTGCAAATTGATTCATCCTTTAAATCTGAATCTCTCTGTATATTTGTGTGTATATGGTCAGATTTTAGTTCATATTTGTATAACTGCTATATAACCTCATCTTTCAAGACATAGTGTATAAATGTGTTTAAGCCATTTACTTTGACTGGGATTATATCTGTTTTTATCGGGTATAATATCTTGTGAGACTTTTTTTCTTAGTTCATTGAAATACATTTTATAGAGTTTCTCCTGAGGGAAGATCACTTTGCATGACCAAAGGAAGCCAAGTAAACTCTGGAGACCTCAAAGATACAAAATCTCAAAAAGCTATATTGTCTAATTCAGAACTATTCACAAAAAAAGACAAAGTCATAAGAATATTGAAAAAGTAGACTTTCAGTACCACATCTGGCAAGCAAATAACTTGGAAACTGTTACTCCCATCTTCATAACAAGAAGGAAGCTTAAAAAAACTGAAAATAAATAATCCCTCTTAGGTCCATTAAAAAACAGGCACAAGACAAACCACAGACTCTTAAAGGGAAGGGAAGAGTAAGCACTTTGGCATACACCTAGAGGTTTCTGTTCTCATTAGCCAAGGATTTCCTTGAAAGAAAATTTTACCAGCAACAAATCAACCTAGGTTTTGCACAGCCTAACCAATCTGGCATAAGAGAAACACCCAGTTCCAAACCTCTGTATCTTTCCATGTGAGGAAAAGGAAATAGTTAGCAGTAGCCACCAGTATTCCCCATGTTTAACCTTCGGGGTGGGAAGTTCACAGTTTAGAGGCACAGGCTTCCTAAAAGATGGAGTCCTGTCATAGGACTATGGAACACTTTGTGTTCCTCAACACATGACTGCCACATCAACCGGGCTCCTGCATAAGTAACAGAGGACTGTGGCTAAAAGAGCTGCCTATCTCAGTCCCTATTTAAGAAGTCTCTAGGGTAATCCAAAGAAAACCAGGGACACAAATCTAGGACACCAGAGGAAATGTTGGCCTCTGACATCTCCAGCTATAGTACCCAAACAAATAAAAAATGAATTCCTCATCAGAGAAACATAAAACCACAGGCTAAGGCCTATTTATCTTAGTTAAAGTTACTTAATATATATTGTGTGTTGCTTCAAAAAGTTAATCAAAGGCACACAAAATGATAAAAGCAGTTTTAAAGATCAAACCAAATAATCAGATGTAGATGTGACCTAAGTGTTGGAATTATTTGACTGAGAAATTAAATAAATAATAATTTATCTGACTTAGAAGTTAATATGCTAAGTGCTCTAATTGCAAGTAGACAGTGTGTGCAGGAGCAGCTAGATGGTGTAATTAGATTGTAACAGAAAATGCCCTCCCACAGCCATATACTCCAGTTTCTTAGTTCCCCGGGTAATAGTTCCTGTTCCAGTTCCAGTTGCTTCTTTTTTTAAATTTATTGTAAAAAAAAGAAGGAAAACATATTAACATTCATTTACAAAATAGCATAAGAACAATACAAACAATACAGAGTTACAGATAAAGTTGTAGGAAATTAACAATGGTTGTTGTATTACATATTGATATCTTCCAAGTGGTTTCTCAGGCAAACAGAGACATGCAGTATTGATCAAACAAGTAATTATTAACTGTTCTTTTCAGTAAAGCAATAGAAGACAATAGTACAACTGTGTTAGCTATTCTTCATATACATACACACATACATAATTTCCCCGTCTTTCCCTTCTCTTTTCCCACATCCCAGTTGCCCTTTACTTTTGAGCATTTTCCTTTCATTTCACAATGTCTATCATACCTCCTAGTCAGTTCCAGTTGCTTCTGGTCTCTTAGAAACAGCTGGTCACTGTGATGCACAGCTGGTTGCTCTGATCCACACTGTACCAACCAGTTCCCAACTGACAAGCCATTCTGCCTCTGTACTTCCTGCTCGCTTATCCCACATAAACCCTAGACCACCAGAGTTCAGGGCCTGATATTCTGGGTATGATCCCAATCAGTGCTCATTGATATAAATAAATGTGCCTTCAAATCCTGGGTGTTATTTCACTGTTTCTGCTTGCTGTTGTAAGATAAAACTCTAAGGGAGAATCAAGAACACTACAAAATACTAAGAGAAATATAGAATACCTTTGACAGACTTGTCAATAGAGTTGACACTTCCAAGACAAGAATCAAAGAGCTTGGATAATTGCCATTAGAAACTTCTCAAACTTAAATATGCAGAGAAAACTTAAGTAAAATTACGGAACCAGAATATCTAAAAACTGGGGTAGTTACAAAGGGCATGACATTGATATAGTGCGAACATTTGAAGAAGACAGAGACAGATTAACAAGACATATTTAAAGCTATTGTAAAAGAATTTTCCAACCAGTAACAGAAAGCCACAGAATCAAGCAGCTCAGTTTACACAAAACAGGATAAATGGTATAACTGAGATGGGTAACTTTATAAAGACAAGAGACTGGGGCTGGGGATTTAGCTCAGCAGCACAGTGCCTGCCTGGCAAGTGTGAGGTCATGAGCTCGATTCCTGGTACCGGGGGGGAAAAAAAAAAAAAAAAAAAGTAAAGACAAGAGACTTCTTTAGTTCCCATTGTGGAGGTTCAGGAGAATGGTGCCTATATCAGCTCGGTTCTAGTGACAGCCTCTTAGCTGTGTGATATTCTGGCAGATGGCAAAGGCAGGAACACATGTGGCAATAAGCAATCATATCTCATACAGGAAGCCAGAGAGAGACAGAGTGGGCCCAGGCTTGGGCTTTTATGAGAACCCTCTCGTGAGAGTTAACTATGACCTAACCTTCAAGATCATGACCCCAATTCACCTCAAGACCCCCTGCTAGGAACTCTTAAATGTTCCAAGTTCCAGTATTAACCCTGAAGACCAAACTCCCAACACACTCCTTAGGGTACAAACCATATCCAGTCCATACCACCAAGTTAAAACTATTGCAAAAAACTCCCACACTCTTGTGAAGATCTGGAAAGGGCTTCCTTAGCCCTGTGAGATTTCATGTGCCTTCTCACTTTCCAATTCTTATTGCTTCCCTGAACTTGTTCCACTGAAATAACAAAAGATTCACATACTAAAAACACATCCCAGCATCACATTTCCTTTCGGACAGAGTGAGACTACGAAGGAAGCTGTAGGGCTGATAAT